TTTTAAATTCTTTTTTTTTTTCAATTTCAAACTTTGATTATATTGTGATTTCATCCCATTTTGTTTTAGTCTTTTTTGTTAATTATTTTAATTATTTAAAATTTACTACTTTAATCTGTCATTTTTTAGAAAACATTCTCATCCAATTAATTGAAAATTATATTTACTTACAGTTTTGATTTATTTTTCTATATGTATGGATTTTGGAATAAAGTTTTAGAACATGATTACTTTTTCTTTTGAAAAATAGATTTAGATAACTTTTAAATTATAGTAGCATGCTTAATATATATAATTTGTCTAAAATAAATTTTTAGATTAAAAGTGTATTTCAAATAATTTTTTCTCGGTTTTTTTTAGAAGAAAACTCAAATTAATTAATTAATAGTTAAAATTCAAATGTGAAAAATAAAAAAAGATGGTTGCTTGTGCATGAGGCTTATATTTAAGGACTAGTCATGCATAGTATAGAAATAAAAAAATATTTAAGAAGGAGAAAAAAAAAGAAAAAGAATTCACATGTTTTATTAATTTGTTTCTTCTTTATATAATCAAAATTATTCAAAATCAAATTTGTAATAATTTTTATTTTAGTCTATTAACTTCAAATTTATTCAATATATTCCTTGCAAGTTAACTTTGTATAGTATTTTTTGTTTTAGACTGAAAATTCTAAACTCGCTTAGTATAGTTATGATGCATAAAAAAATATTGAATCGTTGTATTTTTTAGAAATCGAATGTGCAACTACTACTACACTAAGCATTTATTTATTTATTTATTTATTTTTGAATATTTTAAAATTAACTTATTTTAAATTAAATAATCAAAATAATGTTTTGGCTTAACTACGCAATTATTCAAATTAATATAGTTTTTTATTTTAATATTATTCATTCTTTGGTAAATAAATATATAAAAATTAAATTCATATTTTTTCAAAAACCGATATTCTCATCAATAGTAAATAAAAAAATTATTTATTCAATTCTATATAAGCTTTTAATAATTGTTATTTATGTTTTTTGACACAATCTTATGAAATACTAAAGCTTTTTTTTAAAAAATTTATTTATTTATTTTTAGTTAATAATCCATGGATTAACAAGGATGAATCCTTTTTCTAGATGAAAAATTATGAAAAACACAAATAAGAAATAGTTAAATACAAAATTTTTGATTAAATAATTTTTTACACCTTTAATTTCATATATTTTTATAAATTCACACCATAAAAACAGATTATCAAACCGAAATGATTTTTTTAAACGATTTTATATATTTTATTCAACTCGCAGCGTAACGCGAGTGAAAAGCTAATATTATACTAAAAATAACATCAAATTTTATAGATTTATCGATCATGTGAAAAGCACATGGCACACATATATTTGTTTTTAAAAAAAATTCACAAGGAACCAAACTTCTCTCTTCTTCAAGCCTTTCTGTACTCTCCTCTCTCTCTCTCTCTCTCTCTCTCTCTCTCTCTCTCTATCCCTCTTTCTCCATTCAACCCTTTTTTTCTTCTATCAGGTTGCTATTTTCGATATAATATTAAATCACATAGAAGAACAATTATGTTAATTTGGATTAGAAAAAAAGTTGACAGATGAATAAATTAAAAACTCAATTATTTTCTAATGACAAAATTGACTCAAATAAAAATATAAAAACATATTAAAAGCTCATCTCATTATATAAAAGACAAACTAAATCTTTTTTTCTTTAAATTAGCTAGCTCTTTTCTAAAATTGGCACGTCCACAATACCTGTACCAATAATGTTTTTTAAAGAAAGAAAAAAACGCCAAGGTTCTGTGGAATCTAGAACCCCCCTCCCGGCAGAAAACGAAGCTTGATATATATATATATATATATATATATATATATATATATATATATATCTTCCTTATGAACTTTTAGAAGGACCAATATATATATATATTTTTTTGTCTTTTACATTAAAAAAAGGATATTCATTCAGTTCTTTTTAGGAGAAAAGGAAGAAATTTTATATTTTTAGGGATCAAAATAAGTTGTTTTATGGAAAAGGGACTAAATGACTTGTATTTTAAGATAAAAGCTGGGGAAAATTTTCATTTAAAACTAGATATTCAAATTGGTTCTTTTCCAATAACCAATACGTGCGCACACAATATACACACATATATATATTAGTACTTTTAAAGAAAATAAAATATATTTATCATTTTTTGAGATAAAAGTGATCCATTTTTTTTAATGGACTAAATGCATTACCTATTTACGGTGGAGACACGAAAGCTTTTCATATAAAATGAGATACAATTCCAAATTGGATCCTTTCTAAAAATGACTTGTTCACCAACCAAGCCTTAATAGAAAAAAAAAGAAAAAAAGAGAGTCATTGTTTCTCATATAGCTCCTTTTAGGAGAAAATGAATTTAGTTTTTTTCAATTTTTTGGAATCAGAATACTATCTTATAGAAAAAATTACAATTTGAATGATTAATCTTTAATTTTTTTTTTTTTGGATTCTAATATTTCATTCTATCTATTACATTTAATTTTTTTTTTCAAGTTGGCTTAGTCATTTAAAACTGAAAAATATTAAAATGGTCATGATCTAATAACATATGACAATCTTTAAATGACATGTGACAAAATTATAGATCCCATTTAAATTTATTAACAAAAAAAATAAATTATAAAAAAATAGTTTGTAGGAATTATAAAAAATTAAAATTTGTTAGCCGAATAAACTCGAAAAAGGAAAAAAAAAAAAAAAGAGAGAGAGAGAGAGAGAGCGCAACTCTGCTAGGCCAATCATAAAACCCTGGAAAGCAAAAGCAACTAAATTGATAAAAAAAAAAGAGAAGAATTCAAGGGAGACATCCACAAACAAACAAACAAACTAGGATTGGAAGTTTAAAACTATCCCTTTTTAAGAATAAAGATTTAAAAACACCCTAATTTAGTGAAAAAACTCTTAGTTTGTAAGCAAGTATTACTTGTCCATAGACCATGGATATATTTTTAGGAAGTAGAGACATCCACAAAAATATGTTATGAAAAAATCTTTTGAGTTAGGGGCCAAAAACGAGCAAAATTTTCACTTCAAGGATGAAAGTAAATTGTTTCTAGAGGAAAGGCCCTTAGAACAAGTTACCGGTTGAAATTGAGGGAAATGTGTTCTTATATAATACACGGTGAGTTTTCAATTTATTTTTATATATTTAATTAAATTAATTTTATTTTATAAAATGATTGAGTTTTCAATCTATCATCCGCTTAATTCTTTCTGTCTAAATTAATTGAATCAGTCATGTATATACTTAATATTATACTAAAAATACATCAAATTTTATAGATTTAAGGTGGAGACATGAAAGCTGTTCATATAAAATGAGATACAATTCCCAATTGCTCACCAACCAATGCCTTAATAGGAAAAAAAAAAAAGTGATTGTTTCTTATATAGCTCCTTTTAGGAGAAAATGAGTTTTTTTTTTTTCAATTTTTGGAATCAGAATACTATTTTATAGAAAAAAAATTACAATTTGAATGATTAATCTTTAATTATTATTATTATTTTGGATTCTAATATTGTATTCCATCTATTACATTTAATTTTTTTTTAATTCAAGTTGGCTTAGTCATCTAAAACTGAACAATATTAAAATGGTCATGATCTAATAACATATGACAGTCTTTAAATGACATGTGACATAATTATAGATCCTATTTGAATTTATTGAAAAAAAAATAAATTATAAAAAAATAGTTTGTAGGAATTATAAAAAATTAAAATTTGTTAGCCGAATAAACTCGAAAAAGGAAAAAGAAAGAAAAAAGAGAGAGAGAGAGAGAGCAACTCTGCTAGGCCAATCATAAAACCCAAGAAAGCAAAAGCAACTAAATTGATAAAGAAAGAGAAGAATTCAAGGTAGAAGAAGATGAAGAGATGTCAAGGTCTGCTCTCTCTACTTTTAGGGCCAAAGAAGAAGAGATCGAGAAGAAGAAAATGGAGGTTAGAGAGAAAGTTCAAGCACAGTTGAGTCCTGTTCAGGAGGAGACCAAACGCTTAGCCATGATTCAAAGTTAATCGCACGTTAATATTCCTTATCACGATATCTTTATCATTTTATTTTCAAAAATGATATTTTTCCATACTTGTATAGATTTGTTTTTTTTTTTTTTTTTTTTAAGCTTGGATTATTTTACCTTTTAGACCATTCAAAATTTTCTATAAACTGGACATTTGTCCAATTACTAGCCTTCTCTCTTTTACATATCATGCCCCAGAGATCCAACTAGAGCAATTAAGTTATGCTTTAAATTAAAAGACCTAAAGTCCAGGCCATGTTATAAACTCTTAGGCCCATGATTTTCCAAATGGTCCGAAGGAGGGAATCACTACATTGAGCTTTGCATAGGCAAGTTCACCGAATTATCCCCATTGGTTATTCTATGCAGATGCCAAGTCATTTCTTTGATGACATATAATTTCCATTTGCCGGTAAATTTAAGAAGTTGGACCTGGTCCAAAAAAATAATAATGATAATAATAATAATTAAGTTGACAGCTGTTTTCTAACACAACAAAATCAAAGTTCGGATTGTGATCATCCGTTGCATCTCTATCAACCCTTTGAATTCACACAAATCTGGAAGTTCTGATTGATTCTCATTCAAGTACTGAAGAAATTGCAAGGCTCTTTTTTTTTTTTTTTTTTTGCCCTTTCAAACGAGCAGGATGAGAGTTACGGCAATGAAGAGAACCACAAACAAACTAGGATTGGAAGGTAAAAAAAATAGTAAGAGATAATATCTGCATGGAGAGAAAATAAGAATTTTACAGTATCTGAACTTTGAATTGTTACAAGATTTGATTAGTAATTTTTCTTTTCTTTTCCTTTCTTTTGGTTTGAAAGTTATCCTCAAACTAATTTGCAGGTAAGCAGCAAGCATCAGTTTACAACGCCAAAAAATTAACTCTAGCATGCACCCTTCCCGGGATATTTAGTGTTTGGCTTGAAGCGTCGAAGAGGAAGATAGCTTCAGGCCAACCATTTTAAAGTCACATCCCAACTTATCCCAGTCACCTTTAATATACAGAAAGAAGATCAGCTTGTTGGCTTCTTGACTGTACATCATTGGTTTGACAATCTGGCTGCAAAAATAATCAACATCAAGGTATAAGTACTTAAAACACAATAATAAACGTAACAATCGATCGATATATAAATTAGGATGTTGGGTGCTTTCATAAATGCAATTTGGACCTTTCCTCAACTCAAGCAGGCTGCAATCCGGGAACACTGTTTTAGGACTGCATTGTAATTATCAAACCCCATATCATAGTAACAGTAGTGCCACAATTTCGAGTTTTTTAACAAAGCTGTTTTGGCTACTAAAGCATAATATTGAAATATTAAAACTAACCACCAATTCCTCATAGATCATTGATAGTGGCACCAGCAAAAGATAATTATTAGATCGCCACCATTTGATTCTTCTTGGTGGAGATTGCTGTAGTTATTTCCACTGCCCTTTCCATGGGAACAGATCACATGACTGACAATTTGGATGCAACTACAATACTTTCGGCAGTTGCAAATAAGATCTGAGAAGTTATAAAGGCATTTGTCAATACATTATGCAATATCAATAATCAACTTGACTTCAAATAAATTTAAAAAGTTATTGAGAGAACAGAAAAGCAAGAATGTAGAAACCCTAACCTGAAGTAGTTCTTTTGGTATATCTCCAATCTGATGAAATATAATTTGATTTTGATCTCTAAAGCATCATCATCATCGCTATCATCTTCCATACTATCATCCTTGAGAGGAATAAAAACCCTAAAGTGGAAAAGGACTGTGCTTAGGGTTTCACTACCCATTTTGATTGGTGGCTCTTTCGGTGAATATGTTGCTGTATATATAGGAAACCAACTTCACCTACCCTCTAGGGTTTCTGAGACCAATATTCCTATATGGCAGGTTGCTCTTCTCTCTCAGAAATGTGGGTGCGTGAATTTTGTCCGTTCATTATGGGGGTAGGTATAAAATGAACAGACAAGAGACAGCCATTGCTTCAAAAAAGTTTCCAACATATGCCCTAAGGGCATGAATCAGGCATCCACAAATGGGTGAAAGGTTTAACTTCCATAATCAGCAACAAGGCAATTAATGATTAAGATTTCTCTGATAATGAAAATTAAGACCTTCCATTACTGATATTAGGAGTAAACCCTTAGGGCATAAGTTGGAAATATCCTCTCAAAAGAAAGATAATTTGATAACAAAAACCGTAAAGTTTTCCTATCATTCTCCTTGTTCAGTTATACTAACCCAAAAATAATGTCAATATGCATTGATAGAAAAGCAAAGTGCACTTGCATATTTGTTAATCTGTCGATGTAAATTCAACCATTTATTTGTTAAATTTAAACTTTAAAAATTTCCCGAATTTGGTCGGTGTTTCTTTTCTAGAAGGCAGATTGATTTTCAGTTACTTATATCATGATTTTACTCTCTAATTACTTGAATAACAAGAGTTGTTATTAAGATTAATAAACGACGAAAAAAGAAAACAACTTTACACATCCTCTGTTATGTATTGGCCTAACTCTATTAACATTGGTAGATTATGATGAAAAAGAAAACATTGATAGATTAGGTCACAATAAGCTAATAATTAAACTGCATGCCCAAGAGCAGATGCATAATTCAAGCTTTCAGTTAAAAGTACTTAGTATTCAAGCTTCTGCAACAATACTACTGGGATGGGGTTGAAAAAGAAAGAAAACAAAGAAACTAACTTTGAGGTAAACGAATTGTAAACAGAAGGCAATAAGCATGACTATATGTAGAGCATAATTTCGGAGACTTTCAAGGTATGAGGTCAAACTTCAATGTTTTACTGCATGTATTAACTTCTGGTTAAAATAGAAGTGGGGTAAAACTAGTTCCTAAAAGATTTTAAGCCACATTTCCAAGAGGGTTTCAAGTCTTCATTTAACTAAAATGTGTCCCCATCAAATCACATATGCATGGGTTTTCATATGCTTTTACATGTTTCACTGATTTAACAACCTCATATTTCACAGCGACATACAAACACTATGATCAACAGCAAAAGAAAAACAAAGGATTTCTCCATATATTGGTGAGCTTCAACACTGAATCCAACCAAAGGAAATAATGCTGCTGATCTAATCACTACCCAAAAGAACAAAAATGAAATAGTTGATTTAAACACTATGACGATGACCTTCGGATATAAAAGCAACAGCACATAGACATGCATTTGCGTTAGGCTTGCTTTATATTTGAGACAATGAAAGTAAATCTTTTAAATGTTGATTTAGCCTTGGGCTCGAAGTAAAAATTATAAGGGAGGTTGAACATAACAAGACAAGCTGTCTTGTGTAATTCCTGACGTAGCAATGTGACATACAAAACGATAAACTTGAAGATGAATAGAAAAGTTGAAGGAATTTAGCTCCAGAAATTGAACTCAAATATGAAGAAGAAACTCAAAGTGAACACTGATATCATATCTTCTTATCATCTTCAGATTGGGGGACTACATAAAGAAAAAAGATAGTAGCATGCAGAGGAAACTATAAATGAGCAGAAGCAATTTAATTAGATTATGCAAATTACTAATAGACAGTAATAATAAGCATTATCAATCAAGATGCCTCCAAAAATACCAACCCTTTATCTGCAACATGCCATATAACGTGTAACGACAAAAACTAAGAAAGCAAAGCATGAGAAAGCCGAACTGTATGCCACACCATTTCATTAAAAGGCAACTAAATTGGTAGATCTCTCAAGACATTGTTCAACAGCAAAGTGTTTATATAAAAATTGAGTGGTACCCTCATTGTTAGATGGACAATCTTATAAGTTATACCAAACCCACAGAAATTTCAAACCCTTTCCACTCTCGGTAGAAAACCAATAGAGATTTCCAAGTTACATACCAAAACTACCTGCTATAGTATGCTCTCTGTATTGAAGTTAGACGTATCCAACATATAATACTAAAGGTGCCAAAAATATAAATCAGTGCATGAAAAAAATTACTTGAGCAGTTACAGAACAGGGTAAGTTTGGTTCAGTCTTCTTCAAGCTATGCAGATAAAACGTAGCTTTCAATTACCTAAACAGTCTATTTGTAAACTTAAGCTTAACAGTTCAGAAAAGGTAGATGAAACTTACACTTTTGGGAAAACTATAAGGAAAAAAATGAAAAAAGCCGCACAGCATTTCAACCCTTTATGAATTGCGCAAAATTTTGGATTGCAATATCTTTCCTCAGAGCATTTTCTGGTAACTGTGGTCAATATATAATTTTATTAGACAAATAACCCTTAAAAGTTTTTATCCGTGTTCTTAGCACCAAAAGAACAATACAGAAACATAATGAATTTCTATTGATGTCTTTGAACACTCTTTTTCTTTAGGAACATATGCATAGGGGTAAAGAAAGAAGTCAATAAAGAACTACCATAATTTTGAATGAAGCCAGCAATTAGAAATATGAAATGCCATTAAAGAAAAAGCCAAAACATGCAAAACCCATCAAAATATGCCTTGAAAAAGTAAACACAATAACATTTATACCAATACATATGAAACTCCTTACTACTTTAAGGATGTCTTGAATGACTAATTATGTGGCAAGGCAAAAATATAAATAGTATTCGCAGACTAATGTTATTACGATCCGACTCTTACTTCATCGCTGATTTATTACCTTGAAAAGAGCTGATTTTCGAAGAACACTAGCAATGGCTGGGTATCTATAACTGTAGCATGAGAATCATACATCACAACTACTCTATCCAAGCACTTCACGTAGCTAATGCACTGCGCTTCATCAGCTCCCCTATCCTACAGATACAAGATCAAACATCAACTGAAACAACAAATATATAGAATAACTCAATTATGTTATATGCTAAAGAATTTTATACCTAGGAAATTGGCATAATAACTACACCTGTCAGATACTTTCCACTCCATTTGGATTTCTTTGGGAATTAGATTGAACTAAAACAAATTTACTGATAATCACCATAGCCAAACTGTATAATTATGATATTCTCATATAGAAAACAGAACATCCAAAGTATACAATACAGAGGCTGTTTACAAATGAAAAGCAATGACATAATCAAAACCACAAAATGAGATTTACGATATATCCAAATATGTTTAAACAACAATGAAAAGTATGTATTTAGTGGTCTAGAGACTGACACAATGAGCATACTTAACAATGTAATCAATTTAAATGAACATTATCACGCACGAAACACACGTTGTTGCGTAAAGAAATATGCATAGCACATTCCCTATTTGGTGACCACAATCCAAATATGTTAGGTAACTTGTTTTAAATTTAATCCCAAAGTAGATAAGGTATGATGATTTATTATGGTCACAAAATCGACAGATTCTAATTAAATGTAGAATAAATTTAAAATATTTCCATCTTTCTCATGCCTCTGGTAAGATCATGGACAGTGTGTCACATAAACACATGAACATAGGCATGTGTGAACAGATATAAAGAGATAAAGATAGTGAGACAAGTACATGTAAATCTTAATCACTAAATTAATAACCTATTTGAATAAGGTACATTTATGTTACAATAGAAATATAAGTAGCATTGACAAATTTAAATTTATTACTGTTAGTCTACGTGTCCATCACTGATATATTACTTAACCTTGAGAAACAGCTATTAGCATCAGATTTTTTTCTCCTCCTCAATGTCTTCTATCCAGTTACTTCACTTTATTGTAGCTATGGCACTTCACGAGATCAGCTTCTACAAGTTATAAGCTGAGGAATTTTATACTAAGCAAATAGGCTTCTATGAAGCAGACTTCCATGCTTTCCTGAAGATTTGGATTAAATGAGAATTATGTTGCACTAGGATAAATTCAGCAATAATCCAAAAACAAATGTAGCCAACCCATATAGTTGTCAAATACTTGTAAAATGCATAAAAAAGCTTAGGCATCTGACCAACATATACGGAGGCATTTCACAAGAGACAAGTATAAGCAAGTGCTTAATTAGAACATGAATGAGGTATAACATGCACCTTATAGCAGTCTGGAAACTAAGAAACCATGCATAAACAACATAGTTAATTTGAAGAACAATTTCATGCACGTAATGCCCGTGAAGAAATATGCATAGCACATTCCATATCAGATGATCACAATCCATACAAGCCAGGTACTTTGTTACATTTAAATAAAAAGTAGATGCCTAATGATGTTTTTTTAAAATCATGAAAAGTGTGGATTTTCATTAAATATAAATTAGATTAATAAATCATTTCCATGTTTTCATGTCTCTGGAAAGTTCAATGATAGCACGTGTCATGCAAAAACATGCAGACAGATATGGAAAACATGAGAAAGGGGAGAGAGAGAGAGAGAGAGAGAGATGTGCAGATAGGCTGACATGCACTTATGAATCTTAACTAGTATAATCATCCACTGTGATTGTTTGTTTCTTTGGCTATATTTCTATATTTTTCTGTGTCTGATGACTCTTATTTTTTCTAATCATGAAATTTACAAAAGCAACTTTCCAAAAAATCCTATTTCAAAACAAGCCGAAGAAGATGGTAAAACCTTACCGGAGAAAGCTATCACAAGCAAGAAACAATAACCTTATATTTTGTTCCACCTTCATGAGACAAAGAACAGATTTTCAACACAAACAGAGTTCGAAGTCAAAACCAAATGAAAGTTAGGTTTCGGAGTAATTTTGTTCCACCTCCCCCAATTTTGGACAAAAATTCTAGACTGCAATGCATTTCCCTCAGACAGGTAATTCTGGTTAGACATATTCAGCAATACAAAAATAATAGAAATTTTTATCCATGTTCCTAACAGCCAAAAAAACATCAATCTTCATTAAAAACTGCGAAAGGATACATGAAGATCAAGCAGTTATCTAATTCGAAACACAAAAATTGAGATATAAGGAACATAAACATTAATCAGACTAATTGGAAAGATATATATATATATATATATATATATATATATATATATATATATATATATATATATATATATAAACCTAACGAACCTCAAGTGTTTGTCCTGTGAATCACTGATAGTAAACATACGTTTCCGGACATCGAAGAAAATTGTTTGTCGTCATTGTTTCGCCTTTGAAAAGAATCCGTTGATTCCCTGCTGCAAGTTTTCTTTCGATTTGCATTCATTGTTTTGAATTGAATGCATTCCCCACGCGCAAGACGTCAGAGTGGGGCTGGTGGGTTGGGCTTTGTACTAGGCCATTTTTATGGGCTTCTGTAATGGTTTGATATGGTACTTTTTTTTTTTTTAAGGAAGAACATAATTCCATGCAATATTACCAACTAGAAAGGAAACAAAAAATTAGAAGAGATAAGAACATGGCCAAATATAAAATATTGTAATTTGTATCGTGTCAGTACTTCATTTTGATAATAATTTTATTTTTTCCTAACTAAAAAAAAAAAAACAAAATTTCAAATTTGTGGTTTAAATTTGATTGTTTTGTGAGTACGTTGTACAAATATTACTTTTTAAATTTTATGCATGAAAAGAAAATGAAATAACTTGCCTTTAAAGATCTGTATTTTGATGGTCGGAAACAATATATATGAGGAGAGGGACTATCACGGATACAATGACCAAATGAAATTTTTGAAAAGTAATGGAATTTAAAAGTAATGTTTTAAAAAAAAAATTTCCAGCGGATGCTACTACCCTCCTTCGTCTCTGCTAGGATCTACCATTGTCTCAATATAAGGAGTTTGTCTCACAAACATGGATTATCCACATAGAGTAGGGACTTCAATAAAGATTAGAAGAGTTTTCCCCCACTTTTTTTAGATGAGGACTAGTCGGCTTTTCTTCGTAGTGGGTCGACATGGTTGAGTAATTCAAAACATTAAATCTGAAGGAGTTTGTCGGTAAATCTAATCCTATAGTGATTAAGGAGTGGATTGAATCTCTTGAAATGATCTTTGAAGATATGGCAACGTGTGACGCGAACCGAGTATCATATGTCATCTTCATGCTAACCAACAACATAAGGATACAGATGGGAGTCAATGAAAGTCTCTTTGGATGTGCCTAACCTTACATGAGCACAATTCAAAGAAGTCTTCAATAAGAAGCTTTTCTCCGAAAGTGTGAAATCAAAGAAGATCTAAGAGTTTATGAAACTAGAATAAAGGGATATGTTGGCGGCCAAGTATGTCTACAAGTTTGAACACGAGTTTCGATTCACAACATTCATTTTAGAGGTTCGTTGCACTGAAGAGACTCCACTTTCTTAGGGGTCCGGAGTCTAGTACGAGTGTCAACTAACAATTATGGTTACTAGAGCATTAGAGATAGAGGAAGGTCGTAAATAGGCTATGAGGTTACGGTAAGCTAACGGAGTTGAATGTTGCGTGGAGAGTTGTTGAACATGCCGTCAAGAGAAATCATAATGCGAGACCATGGAAAAATAGTGCTAAGAGGCCGAGAATGGCCGAGGGGCACCGGAGGGCCAAAACACAAGATAAGTTGAATTGCATCAAGTGTGATTGTAATCATGTTGGTGATTATTTGATTGGCACCAACACTTGTTACTTTTGCAAGAAAGTCGGACACATGACAAATAATTATCTAAAGAAGAGCACCAAGAGTCACGGGGAGAGTGTACACGGTGACCCAAGAGTAAGTCGACAGGAGCATATGACTCGTTATTTATGGTAATGTTTTAATCCTTAATCTTATTACTTATATTTTAATTAATTCGGTACTACACATTTATTCAAAGCATTGTCTTTGTTGAGAAAGTTAGGGGTTATACATGAGGCACTTGATATTGTTTATGAGATAACCTTACCGTCGAGAGAGGTATTAGAGTCACTTGAAGTTATTTATGAGGTAGCCTTAACATCGAGGGGGACATTGGAATCTAAAGACATGGTTCAAAATTGTGAGTTAAGGATTGGGGATAGAGTTTTGATGGTTGATTTGATTGTCTTAAAGATTTGGATGTTATTTTAGGAATGGATAACTTGTCTAAATAAGGAGCATCGATTGATTATCTTGCAAAGAACGTTGAGTTTCATCCATCGAGGAAAAGACTTTTGAATTTTGGGTCGAGAACAAGCTAAAAAATAGTGGGCATAGTCTCGACCATGACAACTTGGGAGAGAGTCCATAATGGTTTCTTGGGTTATTTAGTCAATGTGATTGATATCGAGAAGGAGGAAAAGGCAAAACTTGAAGACATTAACGTAGTGATGGACTTTCTAAACGTTTTTCCCAAAAGCTTGTCGGGGGTGTCACCAAATCGAGAAGTTAAGTTTAAGATTGAGCTAGAACCACGAACGACATCGATTTTGAAAGCACTATATAGAGTGTCATATGTAGAGCTTAAGGAGTTGAAAATTCAATTGCAAGATTTATTGGACAAAGGCTATATTTGGCCTTATTGTTCACCTTGGGTAGCTCACATGTTGTTTGTCAAGAAGAAGGATGGAACATTGTGGTTGTGTATCGACTACCACGAGCTTAAATTGAGTTACCATCAAGAACGGTATACGCTTTCTCGTATTAACGACTTATTTGATTAGTTAAGAAAAACACGGTGTTTTTAAAAATTTGATTTGTAAGTCAAGTATCATTAGTTGAGGTTTAGAGAGGAGGATGTGAAGAAAATTATCTTCGTACACGATATGGTCACTACGAATTTTTAGTGATGCCAATTGGATTAACCAATGCCCCCACCGTCTTCATGGATTTGATGAATCAAATTTTTTTAGAGTATTTGGATAGCTTCATCATTGTTTTAATTGATGATATTCTAATTTACTTCAAGAATTGGGGGGATTACGCCAAGCATTTATGGACTATGTTATAAATCTTGAAAGGGTACAAATTGTTTGCTAAATTTAAAAAGTTTGCATTTTAACTTGAGCAAGTATCATTTCTTGAGCATAT